GGAAAATTGAGTAGGGCATCCTTGGGGAGGCAGCAGCAAGCTGTCTGCATCAGAAATCTACATTTTTCTTCGTGTTGCCCACCCTGCAAAATGCCACTGGAAAAATGTCCTTTGCTCCGTTACCATCACCCACAGCTTGCTGCACAGCTGTCCACACCCAATAGCTTTCGCCCCGAGGTATCCGGCAACCCATGTAGATTGCACTTCTAGGAGATTCGAGCTGTCTACATCTCCCACTGTTTTCTGGAACCGTGTTAAGCAAACTCACTCTGGCCAGAAGCTGGGTTTCAGGAGCTCCTCGCTGACCCGAGTAACAGAGTTCCCATAACCCTAGCCAGAGGAGTCTTTACCATCTGTAAACCAGCCCAGTTAGCCTTTTCTCCAGAAAACCAGTAGCACCCATGGTCAAATTTCAGAAAAAAATTCTGATTTTAAAATGCCATTCTAGGGTGATGCACTGTTTCCTTAGATAAGTTATACCCAAGATTGAAAGCACGGGTGCTGTTGGCAGCACAGCATATTGAAATTATTAGCGTGCATATCTCAACTCTAATTCTCTTTTTATTTCCATTCCTGGAGGAAAATGGTCTCTGGACAGAAGAAACGATGCATCTTTGCTCCACAGTGAGCTCAATGCCTGAATTCTTCTATGTGTTCCATTAAGGCTCACCATTGATGGGATGGATGAGTAAAAGAGATCAAGTTGGAATCCACATATTATTGCTTAGAAAATCCCAGGTGATACACTGTGCGCTTTCATCGTTCCCTCTCTGTCTGTCTGTCTTTCATTTTTGCTTTCTGCTGTTCCCGTCAGAAAATTAAGGCTACACACACCATCCCATCGGTTTGAGGGGCGTATGTAACATGCTCACCCTTGGAGATGCGTAAGGCAGATGGGGGTGAATTCCTTGATCCCATCAGAGATGATACATTGCAAAGGGAGTCGGTCCCTTGCAAATTCCTTTTTCAGGAATGGAAACTTAAACTTATGCAACTGTCGGGGCCCAGGGCAGGCCACCCCAAAATGTCCCACAAGAGCAGATTGATTGTTTCAAATTAAAGTTACCTAAGAAGCAAGAGGGGCATTCTGACCCTCCTGTCTCTGTTCCTTCTGAAAGCGAGAAATAAACCTCCCACGTGAAAGACACTCTCTTTACATCCTCATCTCCTGAGCTGAGGAATTCAGCGCTCCGAAGTCTGTATAAATAAACCTTGCTAACGTACTACCTCAAGCCTAGATTCTGCTGAAATGCCTCCCTGATTACGTAACTCGAATCTAAATTTCTCCGTCCTGTCAATTCTTCACAAATTTATTGCTTCTTTGTGTAAAAGATAGATACACTCCTTGCTTTGTTCACCCTCCGAGCATCATTTCCCTACGATCTCCAACATGGACGTATTAAACCGGGATTTCCTTCTGTTAATCTGCTCTTGTGTCAATTTTATTACTAGCCCAGCCGTAAGAACATGAAAAGGGAATAAAAAGGGATTCCCCCGGACCCATGCACACTACTTTTATAAAATGAAAAAGATGTATACATTTAAAACATTTTTTGGTTTTTAGAGATCTTGATTCAGCGGTGCACACAGCTATATCAGTGTGTCCCCTAGTGGTTAAATTATTCTAATGATTAAAAACATCTAATGTTCAGTCGGCCTTAGATTATTAGATACTGGGGATGGGAGAAAGGAAAGAATTTTTTTTTCCTTTGTGAGGAAGATTCGCCCTGAGCTAACATCTGATGCCAATCCTCCTCTTTTTTTTGCTTGAGGAAGATTAGCCCTGAGCTAACATCTGTGCCGATCTTCCTCTATTTTGTATGCGGGATGCCACCACAGTGTGGCTGATGAGTGGAATAGGTCTGTGCCCAGGATTTGAACCTGTGAACTCAGGCCGCTGAAGCAGAGTGCACAGAACTTTAACCAGTCAGCCACAGGGCCAGACCCAGGAAAGAATGTTGTGTATATTCAAAGACCTTTTCCTCATAAGGCAATTTCAGGTTTACCACAATATTGATACTGCCATATACCCCTTGTCCCCACACACGCATAGCCTCCCCAAGTATCAACACAGAATTTTTTTTTAAGTAACTGCATATGTAGACAGAATTTTATCATTGATATCTTCCTTTGGGGACAATGGTTAATTAACTACCCAGTTTGGTGTGTTTTGATGAATGGCAAAGGTTTGTATCATCTTGATATGACATACCTTCCATTTGCAACTCAAGATAGCTTCAAAACACCTAACAGAAAAGCAAATATTTACCTAGTGTTCTACATGCGGCTGTGTGCTACATCTTTTATAGGAATTGTCCCCGTGAACCTTCACAACAATCTCGTGATGTCGGTACAGTTATTATTGGGGGTTGACAAATAGAACAGTCGAAACAAGAAGTTGCCCAAAGATATCTAGCTGGCAGAAACACAACTGCTATTGAATCCAGGTGTCAAACCCTGTAGACGATTTTTTTTTCATCTCTATAGATACTACTGGGCAGAAAAGAAAATGTTTCTTGGCTCTATATGGCTTGCTTTCCCTGATAGCCTTCTGTTCAACCGCTGACTAGGGGAAGTAGAGTGAGGGAGGGGAATTTGGAATTAGATGCCAAGAAGCTGGGGTCCGGCTCACTGTACCACGTGGCCTGGGTTAAGCCCCTTCATATCTCTCCACTCTGTTTTCTTCATCCATAAAATAATGAGATGATCTCAGAAGTCTTTCTCAGGCTAAAATCCCAAGATTCTGCGCTGTGACATCCTAAATTCTAAAAGAATGCTCTCCCAGGATGCACATGAAAAGATCTTCAACGTCACTAGTTATCAGTGAAACGCAAGTCAAACCCACAAGGAGCTAACATGTCACGCCCGTCAGAATGGGTATAATTAATGACGAGAAACAACAAATGTTGGAGAGGACATGGAGGAAAGGGAACCCTCATACTCTGCTGGTGGGAATGCCAAACTGGTGCAGCCACTATGGAAAACAATATGGAGATTCCTCAAAAAATTAAAAATAGAAATACCTTACGACCCAGCTATCCCACTTCGGGATATTTATGCAAAGAACATGAAAACCCGAATTTGAAAAGATTTATGCACCTCTATGTTCATCGCAACTTTATTCACAATAGCCAAGACTTGGAAACAAAGGGAGTGCCCTTCAATGGACAAATGAATAAGAAAGTTGTGGTATCTATATTTGATGGAATACTACTCAGCCACACACACACACAAAAAAACGAAATCTTGCCATTTGCGACAACATGGGTGGACCTTGAGGGTAGAATGTTAAGCAAAATAAGTCAGATGGAGAAAGACAAATGCCGCATGATTTCACTCGTATGTGGAAGATAAACAAACACATGGACAAAGAGAACAGATTGGTACTTACCAGAGGGGAAGGGGTTGGGGGACGGGCGAAAGGGGTAAAGAGGAATATATGTATGGTGATGGATGGAAACGAGACTTTTGGTTGTGAACACAATGCAGTCTATATAGAAGGTGAAAAATTATTATGTATGCCTTTAGTTTACTCAATATTATAAGCCAATGTGACCTCAATGAAAAAAGGGAAAAAAAATGAATGTTCTCCTAAGATATATAATAATGTAAGGGTGGGTTGAAAACCTTAGAACAAGGAGGGGTAGAGAAATGACTCAGCCTTTGTAAATAATCCTTTTGTGGACTAATAAGTTCTAAGGTGCTTACCTAGGATCACTTAGGAGAAAAAAAATATCCTTGTTCAATATTCAATATTAATACAGTTGTTTATGTTTGACTTCAGGTTTTCCTGTTATTCCTTAGAAAAGAGAATCAAAGAACAGAGGTATGTTGAAAAGGGATCAAATGCACATAACTGTGTTGCTCCTGAAGTTAATCCTTGGGGATTTGGGGTTTGGTGTGGTCAGGGGTTCAATCGTAGTCCCAAAACTTATGAGCTGTGTTCCCTTGAGAGGGTGATAGAACATAGCCAAGCTGTAGATACTTCACCTGTTACATAGGGTGTAGTAGGTTTAATTACGTCCCCCGAAAAGATATATTGAAGTCCTAAACCCTGCTACCTGTGAATGTGACCTTATTTGGAAATAGGGTCTTTGCAGATGTGATCAAGTTAAGATGAGGTCCTAGTGCGTTAAGGTGAACTCTAATCCAATGACGGGCGTCCTTATAAAGAGAGGGAAATTTGGACGCAGTTACACAGAGAGGGAAGACGGCCAGGAGAGGACGGAGGCAGAATTAGGGCAGTGCATCTACAACCAAGGAACGCCAAGGATCGCCAGCCACCCCTAGAAGCGAAAAGAGATGCAATCAAGGATTCCACCCAGAGCATCAGAGAGAACATGGCCTCACTGACACCTTGATTTTGGACTTCTGACCTCCAGAAAGGTAGAAGACTAAGTATCTGTTTTCAGCCACTACTTTGTGGGGATTTGTCAGGGCTCCCTGAGACACACATGCATGGGGTTCTCCCTAAACCGTAAAGGTGAAGTAAGGAAGAAATAAGACACTCCATCAAAGTTCGGGCATATCCCCCCAGGGAAAATCAATGCAGGCGCCTCTCCCAGGTTTCTAACTGTCTTCCTGCTGCTCTCAGGAATCTCCGTGCTCTGGACAGTGTTTTCTCAACTATCTGAGCATCTTCCAGGATGTCAGAAACCAACTGCTCTCTAGACCTCTTATCCTGTTGTGCCAAAACATTGTATCACTCTTGATTCATTTTCTGTATTTTGTGGACAAAAATAAATCCTTTTGGTCGGCTTCCTGGCTGCTGAGACTACATACTTTCAATGCGTTATGATTTAAATGGTGGGTATTTTGCCCCTGCTGATCAATGAGTTGGGAGCACACAGGATCTTGCATGTGGAGTTTGTTTAAAGAGGAACAGAACCCATGGGACTAATAGCCTTCGAGTCTTGATTCTTGGCACTGAAAGGAATGTTTAAAAGCTTGGGAATTAGCTAAATACTTATCACCAAGAATCCCAGAAAAACCCCGCAATGGACATTTAATAATTGGAGATGGTAGTGGAATTTATTGGCTCTCAAATTCATTCCTCGAGTATCGGAAAGTGCGTTGCGTCTCCCGCTCTCCGTCGTTCCTTCTCATGATGAGCTCGCGGCTGAGGAGTTCCCCTCCTTGTCACACAGACAAAATGGGAACACCCCACAGCAAGGCTTCAGCCACACATTCCCCTCATTCGATCCTGACAGCTGCCGAAGGACGGGTTTGATGCTTTCCTTGTGGCGCTTCACGGCGGCAGCCACCGTTCTGATGACTAAATCGTAGAGGGGCTCTGTGTCCCGCGTTAGAGGTGTGGACTCAGAGGGGTCCCTGGAGAGATCGAAGAGCAGAGGGGGGTTGTGGGAGGTGACCAGTTTCCCTGAACATTGGCAGAAGATGGTCTCATAGCAGGCCAGAGCTCCTGGCGGCTGGAATACTGGGGTCATATAATGAGCCTTCCACACGGCCTCGCCTGGAGAAGAAAAGACACATCAGAGACATCCAGTCTATGTGCCAACTGCCCCCATCTCCTTCTACTTTCTCAAGCATTTTTCTGGTTTTTCTCTTGGCCAACGGGTGAAAGCTAAATATCATTCAGTCTTTAGAATATCAGAATCTCCTAGCACAAATTGACACATCTTTTGCAATAGACGTTAGTTCTGTTTCTCCCAATTTTTATTCCTTAGAGATATGCCCCCGCCTTTTGAAGGACAGCAATTCTTAGAAACTTTTCCAAGAAAGTGTTTTCAGTGGCAACCCTAGAAGGGAAGGACTGACGTGGGGGGATGAAAAGGAAGAAGCAAGTCTTGGGAATCCATTTGAGTGGCTCTACTCTTGGCGTCCTCGGAGAGCAGGGGCTGGTGGGTACTCACTGTCCTTCGGGTGCCAGCGCACGGCGTGGAGGTACACACCGCAATAGTGGAACAGGAACTCATGCTCTGAGCGCTGAGTGTCACCCCGAAGCAAGGGCATGAGGTCTCGGCCATCAATCACCCTGCAGACACACACGATGGAGGGAGGTCAAGCGATGTTGGCCACCAGGCTATTTGAAAGATGCTCAATGCATTCTGTGACACTCCCTGGGCCCCAAGTATGGTGCACTGACTACTCAGGAAATCCGTGTGTGCTCTAAGGGACATTACGTTCCCGCAAGAGAGAGAAAAAAACCTAAGCTTTTACGGTGAAATGACAAGACAGAGGAACACATGCATGCACACCCATCTAAAGAGCTACAGAAGGACTCACATGCTCCGTGTTCCTAATGATTTCAGAAACCACAGTTTCATTCGCAATGGCATTGCTACCTTGAAAAGGGGTTTTGTAGAATCTCTCAAAAACCATACGCTTTTTATTTTATGTCAGAAAATGTATCTTTTACCTTATTTTAGAAAACTATATTATAAAACCTACCTCGTAATAGAAAATAGAATAAGTCCCAGATAATCCTAGAAATGATCATAAAAGAAATAAAACTGTCTTGATTCACAGGTTAAATGATTGCCTGCATTGAGAAGCCCTTCGGAAGCTACGGGAACGAAGAAGTAAGTTTAGCAAGGTCATAAGATACGAGACCAACTTTAAAAAATCAATTTTAATGCCCGAGGACATCATCAGAGACATGTCAAGCTGCAAAAGAGGCTTCGACTCTGACATCTAGAAATGTTGACTGGCTGGCCCCTGGGCTCAGGAAATGATTTATAATTTGCTCCAACCATTAACCTTGTTTTTCTTTTTATTTCCATAGAAATACTTATTAAATACCTGATTGCTTGCTTCCAAAATATAAGCCTAACGTTGGGAGCGCACCTGCATCACCGCCTTCTAAAATGGATTTAACTGGACTGGTCTATTACCAGGACTAAAAAATGTGTTCAGTGAGATGAAACAATCTACCACTCAGATTCTGGGCCATAAAACTTATTAAAGTTTCAAAGGACTGTGAAACTTAAAACTTTCAAAGGTGGGACTGTGGGGGGGCTGGAATTTGTCTTTAACTCAGGGTGGTATTTAAGGTGGTGGCTCACCACCTTTTTGGTGAGTTGCTCAGTTTGCCTGAGCCTCTCCCATGTATACATGTTATAAAGCTTTGTTTCATTTTCTCCTGTTAAAAAAAAAAAATCAATTTTATTTCCATATATTAGCAATGAACAAGGACAAGTCACATTTTTTTTAAAGTATCATTTACTACAGCCACAAAACCCATGAAATATCTAGGGATTTCTTCTTTTTTCTGTGTGTGAGGAAGATTGGCCTTGAGCTACATCTGTTGTCAACCTTCCTCTTTCTGCTTGAGGAAGATTGTCACTGAGCTAACATCTGTGCCAATCTTCCTCTATGTTGTGTGGGATGCTGCCACAATGTGGCTTGATGAGCGGTGCTAGGTCCACACCTGGGATCTGAACCCACAACCCCCAGGCCCCTGAAGCAGAGAGTGTGTGAACTTAACCACTGTGCCACCAAGCCAGCTCCAATACCTTCTTGTTTTTTAAGGGTAAAAGTTTGTATGCTGAAAATCACAAAACATCTGATAAGAGAAATAAATGGAGAGATAAGCCATGGTCATGGATTGGAAGACTCAAAAGTGCTAAGAAGTCAATTTGCTGCAAATTGATCCATAGATTTCATGCGATCTCAATCAAAATCTCAGCAAAGTCTTGAGCCCAGCCTGGTGGCTGAGTGGTTAAAGTTCTGTGTGTTCCACTTTGGTGGCCCAGGGTTTGTGGGTTCGGATCCTGGGCATGGACATACTCTGCTCACCAGCCACGATGTGGAGGGGTCCCACATACAAAAAAAATAGAGGAACATTGGCAATGGATTTAGCTCAGGGCAATCTTCCTCAGCAAAAAAAAAAAAAAAAAAAAAGAAGAAAAAGAAAAAGAAAGAAAGAAAAAGAGAAGAAAAAAATCTCAGAAGGGTCTTTTGTAGAAATTCAGAAGTTATTCATATTTACATGGGAAAACAAAGAAACTAGAATAGCTTAAACAATTTTGCAAAAGAAATAAAACAGTTTCACACTACGTGATTTCAAAATAGACTACAAAGCTACAGTAATTGCGAGAGGGTGGTATTGACGTCAGGATGGCTATATGGATCAATGGAACAGGAGAGAGAGAGTCTGAAAGTAGACCAACATGTATACTGTCAATTGATTTTCCACAAATGCCCAAGGTAATTCAGTAGATGAAGGACAGTCTTTCAAAAAACGGCATGAGAAAAATGGGGTATCTTAATGCAAGAAAAATAAATCTCAACCTATACCTCACACTGTATAAAAAATGCTCTCAACATGGTCTATAAGCCTAAATGTAAAACCTCAAACTATAAGACCACAAGAAGAAACCCTAGGAGAACATCTTTCTTACCTTGGAATAGGAAAATACTTTTTAGATGTATCACCAAAAGTCGCAATTTATAAAACAAAATTGATAAATTGGCCCTTATCAGAATTGAAAACTTGGGTTTTTCAAATGACAATGTAAGAAAACGAAAAGACACCCCAGGAATGGAAGATAATATTGGCAAAACACATATCTGATAAAGAACTTGTATCCAGAATATATAAAGAACTCTTATAATTCAACAATTAGAAAATAAAATGCCCCATTAAAAACTGGACAAAAGATTTGAACACTTCACAAAGAAGAGATATGGATGGGAAGGAAGTACACGGAGAGGTGTTTAGCATCATTAGTCACTAGGGAAACACAAATTAACACCACAATGAGATTCTAGAACACACTTATTATAACGGCTAAAATTAAAGACTGGCCATCTCAAGTGTTGTCAAGGATGTGGAGCAACTGGAACTCTCAGATAGTGCTGATGGGAATGCCAAATGGTGCAGCTGCTTTGGAAATCAATTTGACAGGTTCTCATAAAGTTAAATATATATGTATAATAAGACCCAGAATTCCCACACCTGGGCATTTTCCCAAAGGAAATAAAAAATTTACGTCCACAGAAAGCCCTCTATGTGATTGTCCAATGCAACTTTAATCACAATAGGCAAATCTGTTTCTCCAAAGCAAGAATGCATTTTGGAATTCTGTGCAAGAATTTGCCTCAGTTTCCCACTGAAAAGTGAAATATGGAGGGAATGAAGATGTGACATTTTCAGAGCTAATTCTGGAAAAAGTAAAAATCAAGTCATTTCTACAAAGGAAAATCCTAATCAAAGCTCAAACAGCAATGTTACCAGAGACTGGGATTCTGCATAACTCTTGTGAGTCCAAAATATAGACTATAGCAATGTCCCAAAGTCAGTGCACCCCATCGATATCTTGAAAAATTACTTTTACGACTGTGATTGGCTCAGCAACTTAAAAAAAATTACACTTACACTAATATTATACATTTTTTTAAACAATGGGCCATTTAACTCAAAATGATAAATACTCTTCTTCTGAGTAGAAGGGAGCTCTATTCTGTAATTATTTTATACAAACTTACAATAAATCTACTTATTGGCTAAAACGAAGGTAAAAAAATTGAGGAGTTCTTTTTTGTTTGTTTGTTTCTCGTTAGCTTTGGGAGCCATTCTGTTTTCTTTCAGAAATAAGTGAGCTCCATTACACGAAGAAAGAAACATTAGAGTAACTTTCGGGGCTTAGAAGGGAGAAATGGCGTGGATCCGATCCATTGGATGACTTTACAGAGCTGGGATCAATTAACTCTCAGAAAATCAGCTTTAAACCTACCTGGGTCAAACCTACCTGGAACTCCTCTTGATGGAATTCAAAATATTTATAACAGAGCTCCAAGTATCCATCAAACGACTTACCTTCATCGCAGCCTCCGGATACGCACACCAGAAAACTAGGAAACTGGTTTTTTTTCTCTTGTATGGAGGAATGAGTTTTACCGGTCATATTCTCATTCCCAAAACCGTCCCATCTCCATCTTCCTCACAAATGAAAACTACAAAGGGTCTAAGATGGGCCATGGTCGTGTAAGACCGATGCCTGGTACACAAATAACATGGCCATCTACAAAGGCAAAATCATCTAGGGATTGAGGAGAAAGTGTACCTCCCAAGACAGGCTTTGTCTCCTTTGTCCCAAATTCTCTCAAGACCAAGGAGGATCCAAAGGGACTTGTTAACAGATCATTTCACATCACCTGTCCTGAGGGACAGTTGCTCCCGCCAGTGCTGCGACAGTTGGCAAAATATCCATTAGACTCGTGGGCTCCTCAATCACTTTTCCAGCTGGCAATTTTCCAGGCCATCGCACAAGTCCCGGGACGCGGATTCCGCCTTCCCATCCTCCCATGCCTTTGCCACCTACGGGGAAAGACGATGAAGTTCCTATTAAAATCGTCACTGTGGCCAGAGTGTTAAAAAATGTAAATTAAGACCAGTACAGACAATCTTTGCTCAGTGCCTACCATGTACACAGTCCTGATGGGGTCAACAGCACACGTGGATGGAATTATTTTTTCTTGGACTCTTGATAGGTTTTTGATCAACTAGTGAATCACATTCAATACGAGGCATTGGCACTGGCTATTTCTGCCTAGAATGCTATTATCCCCAGATATCCACCTGTTTCATCCCCGGCCTCTTTCACACCTCTGCTCAAAAGCATCTTCTCATTAAGCTTTGCAGGTACACTTATTTAAAGTGGGAAGCCCATCCCACAATTTTTTTCAGCTGTATTTTTCTCCACCTTTGTTTCTGCTCCGTTTTTCTGTAATATTTACTGCCTTATAACATATATGATTTCTGTTTTATTCACTGCTGAATCCAGCACCCTGAAAACTAATCGAGTGAAATCGTATGGGTAGATGCTAGTTTATTGTCCAAACCAGGCCATTACTGAGTATGGAAGGAAGAGGGAATATTAAAGACATCAGGACAACAGTCTTGTAGTTGTAATCCATGAGTAGACATTCAACCCATTGAAAGACTCCCTTAAAAGCATCTGCTTATGTTAATATTCTGTCATCTCATTGGCTCACCAGCGAGGCAAATTTCTAGATACCCCTTCTAGCATTTCCTAGAACTGTTTGCAGATTGAAGGCCAATTTCTTTGGTTACCGGCCCTACACTTTATTTTTTATCAAGAGTCGAATATAATGAACTCGTTCAGTTTTTCATGCATTCATCTCTCCATTCCATGAATTTTCATTCTAATGAGCAAAAGAGCTTATTCACCACCAAATCACCCACAAGACTTCCTCTCCTCACCTTTGTATATTCCATTCCATCCACCAAGCTGGGCATGGCCCAGCCTCGCCTCCAGATGTCCTCCATGGTCTGATGTAAAGTAGACTAGAGTGTGGTCCCTCAAACCAAAATCATCGAGGGCATCAAGAATCTTCCCTGAAACAATAAAAAAAGGGACACATAAAACCAACGACTTTAGGAGCTTCAGCCATTCAGAGCATTCCCAATTGTCGTACGTTTACTTGGGATCCGTTGCAAAAATGCTTCTCATCTAAGAGGTACCATCTTGTACTCCCAAGCAGAATGTGTGAGTGGGCCTGTTTTCTCAGTTCTTCATCAGCATCTCATGTTTCAGAGGTGATCAGGTCAAATGAGGAATGAAAATGGATTGCTTCCTATGCTGACACTGACATCGGTACCTTTTAATCTGCAACTTACGGGTAGCTCTTCCTGATTTTTCTTTTGCGGCTTGTATGTTTCCATGATTGATTTATCAGGACTCCCTTTTTAAGGAACTGAAACAATGTCACATTCTTGTTCATATTTCCTCAGTTTACAAGAGGCCCTGCATATGCTGTTTAAGTGTATATTTTCGATATTTTGTGAAATCGAAAGATCTTTGCCTTTATCACGACTTCTGTGGTTTTTACTAGCTCTGTACCTCATGCAGAGAAAAACTTAATATTTCACTGGAGTTTCTTCCAGCTTTTTTTTTCACTCCATTCAAGGTCCTTACTTTGCATGGGAAAGAATGCCCGTTGAATTGATGACGGTTTTTCCTTACCCAACTGTGTAGGTTTCCATGGGCTGCTGTGTCAAATTTCTATAAGCTTGGTGGGCTTGAAACAACAGAGATTTATTCTCTCAGTCAAGGCTCCCGAGAAGGATGCTTCCTTGCCTCTTCCTAGCTCCTGATGGTGGCTGTCAATCTTTAGGTCCTTGGCTTGTGGATGCATCATTTCCATCTCTGCCTTCATCGTCATGTGGTCTTCCCACCCCCGTGTCTCTCTGTGTCTTCACATGGCACGCTCCTCTGTGGTCTATCTCTGTGCCTCTCTTCTCTTCTTGTAAGGACGCCTGTCATATTGCATTAGGGTCCTGCCCTAAGGACCTCATCTCGACTTGATTACATCCGCAAAGGCCCTATTTCCAAATAAGGTTACACTCACAGGTTCTGGGAGTTAGGACACGGACATATCTTTTTGGGGAACACAACGTAACGCAGAACACCAACTCTCCCCAATGTAGCCCATCCCTGCCGCTTCGAATTAGAAAGTTTCCTGGCTCCTAAGTCCTCTTCCTCACTGGTCCCGCTCCAAGGCTATCTATTTCTGCTTTTCTGACCTAAAAGTCACATCTTGCACATGTACTTCTGAGTTTTAATTTCTGTAGTTTTATTTTGGATAGTGCTTTCCTTGTGATTACAGAATACTTCTTTATCTTTTGTACCAACCTCGCTACCATCAGATATCCTTGGAAAGTTTCATTTCTCACCAGTTTGTGCTTCTAGGTGTATTTCCTCAACATCTTTATAATGAACGTTCTCCAGATAATAGTAATCGTCTTAATTAGAATCAAACGAGACCTTAAGGTTAATTTCAGAATGACTAATATTATAAGAGTCACTCTTCCCATCCAGAATATGGTATATTTCCATGTATTAAAGTTTCCTTTCATGAGTCAGATGTCTTCAATATGATCATTTTTTTTTAGAAACTCATCTCTAAATATTTAATTGTTGGTATTGGAGCTACCATGAATAGTATCTTGTTGCCTATTGTACCTTGAAAGGGGTTATTTTGGACACAAAGAAGAAGTGTTAATTTTGATGCATATATCGAATACAGAGAAACATTTTACAAGATATGTGTCTGTACCTATATTTAGGGTATGTATAATTAACTATACTGTTACACTAATATTATACTAATAGTATACTATATAATTATCTCGATATCTCATACGTTATCTCAACACATATTACCACAACTATTAGTATAATATATTATAATATAAAATATACTAACAATATATGTATACATTATAGTCTATATAGCATGACCTATTATGTAATAGATACGTGTAAATGTATATATTGAGATAGATGATGGTAGAAAGCATGTAAACATTTTTGTGGTTATGAGCTGCAGTCATGCCCCACTTCATGATGGGGAAATGTTCCGGGAAATGCGTCTTTCGGCGATTTTGTCATTTTGCAAACATCACAGAGCGTACTGACGCAAAGCTAGATGGTATAGCCCATTACACACCTAGGTTGTATGGCACAGCCTCTTGCTCTTGGGCTACCAACCTGTACAACATGTTGCTGTCTGAAGACTGTAGGCAACCGTAAAACGTTGGTAGGTGTTGCGTATCTGAACATAGCTAAACAAAGAAAAGGTACAGGAAAAATACGGGATAAAAGATAAGAAACGGTACACCTCTATAGGCCCTCACCATGAAAGGAGCTTGCAGGACTGGACGTGGCTCTGGGTGAGTCAGTGAGTGAGGGGGCAGTGAACGCGGAGGCCCGGGACAGCCCTGGGCACCACTGCAGAATTTGTATACACTGTGCACTTCGGCCACGTGAAATCTATAAACAAAAATTTTCCTTTCTTCAATAATACATTAACCTTGGCTTAGCATAATTTTTTACTTGACAAACTTTTGCATTTTTTTGACTTTTTGACTCTTTTTGAAAAGCACTTCCTTAAAACACAAACACATTGGACAGCTGTACAAAAGTATTTTCTTTCTTTATAGCCTTAGTCTATCAGCTTTTTCTAGTTTAAATTTTTTTTTTTTTTTTTACTTTTTAAACTTTTTTTGTTAAAGACGAGGACACAAACACTCACATTAGCCTAGGTCAAGGGTCAGGGTCAGGATCGTCAATGTCACTGTCTTCCATCTCCACATCTTGTCCCACTGGAAGGTCATCAGGGGCAATAACACACACATGGAGCTGTCATCTGCTGTGAGAGCAATGCCTTCCTCTGGAATACCTCCTGAGGGACCCACTTAAAGCTCTTTTAAGGAAGTGTCACTCTTTTCAGAAAGATGTCCCTGGTGGTTTGGTTGGTTGGTTTCTTCTTTTCGTCATTGATTTGCTTATCAGCAGATAATGAATTCCTCTCAATCAATGAAAACCTTTCAGTGTTGGGATCCGTGTTTCCAAAATTTTTGAGGAGCTTGTTGAGGTCTGCAAAACCTTCTGATAAACCCTTCACTGTGAATTTTCTTGGGGGTTTTTCTTTCTCTTCTCTTGCAGTTTCCTTTTCTCTGGCCTCTTCTTCAGCTCTGTGTTCCCGCTCCTGTTCCAACAACTCCTCAGGAGTCAACTCCTTAGGAACCACTTCTGGGAGCTCTTCAATGTCATCCTCACCCACACCCAGGTTAAAGTTGTGTGCCATCTTGTCCACAGCCTTGTTGATTTTTACAACCTCCTTCTCTTTGGCAAATCCCTTGAAGTCATGAATTATTCTCCCTGAGTGTCATTTTCCAGGTGCCATTCATACACTCCTTGGTAAAATCACCCCAAGCCCAAGGAAGTTTCCTGATGAAGTCAGAGATGTTGTAATCCTGCCAGAACTGCACCAGTGCATTCCTCAGTTACAGCAATAACTTGGGCAAAGGTCCTCCTTAAGTAGCAGACATTAAAAGCTGCTATAACTCCTTAATCCATTGGTTGAATCAAAGAGGTAGGGTTTGGAGGGACAAACGCCACTTTGATATTGGGATGAAGATCGCCAATAAAAGGAGGATGTCCGGGAGCATTATCAACAATAAGCCAAATCTTGAAAGGTATGTTACTCTCCCAACACTACTTTTCCATTTCACTGGCAAAGCAATTCAGGAGGGCATCTTGGGAAAGGAGCGGGGTCATCCATGACTTCTTGTTGTTCCTAAAGTACATTGGCATTGTGTCCTCATTAATACGCCTCAAGGCCCTAAGGTTCTCACTGTGCCAGGTCACAAAGCATTTCAATTTATAGCCTGCCACTCTGCCCCCAAGCGGGACTGTTATCCTGTCCTTAAAAGGCTTGAAATCTGGCATTGACTTGGCTCCTTATGGATGAAAGTCCTTTCAGGCATCCATTTCCAGAATAGAGAGGTTTCATCCATAATGAATATTTGTTCTGGGAGGTAATTTTCCTCCACCCTCAGCCTATCTAGAGTCTCCACTTACAGACTCATCGCTGACCTTCACACAGTTGTAATGAATAATGGTTCTTGAATTGTTTAAACCACCCCCCCCCACCGAGGTAGCAGTAAACCCCACATTATAATTGGGTCCAACCTTTCCTTTCAACGTCGCAAACAAACTTTGTGCTTTGGCTGTGCTCATCACGGTGCAGAGAGAGACCAGCTTCTGCATCTGGACTTCAATCCAAGTCATCAGAAGTGTCTCCACGTCTGATACAGGCCCTGCTCAAGTTTTTGTTAGTCTCATTGTCTTCAATGCAGCAGATCCTTTAACAGCTTCCGTCACTTTATTCCTGTTCTTCAAGATCATAGCTGTGGCGGAATGGGACATGCTTGAGATCAAGAACCATCACTGATTTTCCAGCTTTGTTGTCCTGAACCACTTTTCATTCTATTTCCAGGTCAATTACTCCATATGGCCTCTTACTGGCAACATGAGCAGTAGCATTTGTACACTTAGGGGCCATGATGACCAGAACAATATAAAATTAAATCAAGCACGAGAGAAAATGTTGTAATCAAGAGATGTGGTAAACATGAGATGTATGTGGCTGTTGCCAGGGTAACAGGGCATGCTGTTTTACAATAAACTTGTTTTTCCATAAGTAGAAAGAGTGCATAATGTGTTTATAATATTATATATAATGATAATTATATACATTATTAATTATTATGATGCATAACTGAAATGTACTATTGTATAGTAATATCCTAATAATATAATTACATTATATGTTAGATGTGATACGACATAATTATAAGTATTTTACAAGATATGCAATATATATACTAATGTTTGTTTTATTAGACTTTAGGATTTTCAACATAGAAAATTGTATTCTTTACAGATATTAAGTTACTTTGAGGTGTTTCTATTCTTAATATTTAGAGAGATTAAAAAAATAAGTAGATAGTAGACATGGAAATGGTTAACACTTTTCTATAAACATAAATATTATAAATATTACATATACTTCTAGCCTCCACTGAAATATATATAAATTTATATACATTAAATATATTTATAAGATATTAAATTTATATTACATATTATACATGTATTATATATTTTATATAGCATATGTAATATAAACTTATGTATACAACATAAATTTCAGTTGATGCTAAAAGATATGTTACCCTTTCCATGGCCACCGTCTAATTACATTTTACTCTCTCTAAATATTAAGAATGGAAATATCTCAAAGTAACTTGATATCTGAGAAGGAAATAATTGTCTATGTTGGAAACCTTGAGATTTCAGTTAATGCTAGAAATCTATATTGTATTTTAAATATATATTGATATTTAAAACGTATATCTTTAATAATTTTAATAATATATCTTTCGTAATTTTATTACATGTACAATTGATAATTGTTTATTATTAATATTATATAATATATAAGTACGTACTATTCTATATCTCTCTTTCTAAGACAGTTTTGCACTCTGCTGGGCACTGTGGAGGTGCCCCAGCGCTCCTGTGACACTGAGACACCCCTGCCTTGGAAACCGCCTTTCAACCCTCACAGCCGCCGAACAGGTCCAGCCCAGATTCCCCGGGCCCCATCTCCCATTTCCCTTCCTCATGTTGGACACTCATCCTCTTTTCACCGTTTCTGAGAAACCTGCTCTTGAGAGAAGAGCTGCTGAATTCTCACCCACTGGGGATGGGGATGCATGACCAATGAGGCACCAGAGATGTTCCCCTGCCTGGGGTGGGAGATGTCATTTGCAGTGGAGGCCTTCAACGGGGTATGAGTCAGCCAGAAGCCAGGCTGGGGGCGAGTTTCTGGAGCTTTCCTGATATCTGTGAAATGACAGCGTATGGGAGTCTGAGGGATTAGGAGATACTTCCAAAGAACGCAGCTCTCTTCCCAAATCTCTGTTCATAACCTCTTTGCCCTAAGCATATGGCCACTGAGCTACAGAGCCAGTGTCCAGGTTCCAATCCTGGCTCACCTGGACCTGTCCTGTAACCTTGACCAGGCCACCAGGTGTCTTGTGCTTTAGTTTCCTCATCTGTTAAGGAAGATAATGATGATGACGAAGATGGTACCCATCTCCTAGAATGTTTACGACACTGGAACAGTGCACGTTCCATACCAAGTGCCATGTGTGGGATTTGCAGTATTGTTATAGCTTCCAGGGTAGATATTTTGGGGATAAGTAAACTTTTTAGCATTTCTGAAATTTCACCTTGAAACAGATGATTATTCTTCCTAAAGGTTCGATTCTGAATTTGCACACCTGTGCCAGGTGAATCTCTGTTGCATTTTTTTCAAAATACGGCTTTCAAATATTGTGGTATGTCCACCCATACTCAACACACCACTTCTTTGTGGAACAGGATCTGAATGCCACTGGATCAAAATCCCACTGAAGGCAGATCACACCCAAAGTGCCTTATTTGGCGCCTTCGTGCCACATCATCAATATTATGAACTTAGATATTTTGGAAACTTTTTATCAATTTTAAATTTTAAAGCAAATAGTAATCTCATTTGTTTGTTTTCACTTATCACATCCTGAGTTGGAATTAGCTACTTCATTCCCCTTCAAGAAGACACAATGACGAGCAGGATGGCCAAAGTTTTTGAGGAAGAGCGTGATGTTAGGGATACGCATTTTAAGCGCATGACGTGGTGTCTTGTCCTGGTGGAAGTATGAACTGGGAGAGGGACACACACACACCCCCCACAGACACACCACACACACATACACCACACCCACCACACGCACATCACAGACACACACACACACATCATACACATACACGTGCACACCACACACACACACATACACCACATATGCAACACACACACACCATGTACATACACACCCACCCCCCCACACATACACACACACCCCTCACCACACACACATACACCACACATACACCACACCTACCACACACATACTCCAATGCCACACACACACCATACATGCCCCCCCACACACCCCACACATACACACACACATACCACATACACACACATATGCCTACATAAACGTACGCCTTTGTACATATATCTGCTTAAAATAGTATTTATACTTAAAATAATTTTTAAATATTTTCTACTTTTAAGACGGCATGAAGGGACAGTGTTTGAACGGCTTCCCCTTGGTCAGGCTTGATTTCCCAAGTGTCTCTTTGTTTACTGAAATCTTTCCTACCGACCTCCCATATTTGGAGAATATTTTAACCATGTTTGGGTCCCACAAACCCGTGAGACCCATCACGCTCTTTCGTCATTCCTGTTGGAAAGTCGAATCTGTTTCTCTGACCACTATGTGTACCGCGGAAGCACCAGGAATCCACACTTCCTACTTGCTCTCTCTCCCTCTCCAGTCTGAGTTTACCGGGGTTCTGGATTCTGACTCACCCCTGTACCCCGACTCCAGACTCAGATCTCGGTCCTCAGCAGACCTGAAATAAGGTTTTGCTGTTTAACCAACGAGCGCTGACATCTGATTTGAGGTTGGACCTGTTACATCGTTTACATGGAAGACCAAGCCTCCCTCCGTGGCAGGAATGATTGATTCTCTTTGTACTTCAGAGGATCATCCTAAGCTTTTCCTTCAGAAGCTGGCCAGGGGCGGTGTCCAGGTGTCGGAACTATCAAGACATGGAGGTCTCGTCTACTAGGTCTGGCCACTTACCCAACATGGAGTCCATCTCCTGCACATGATCACCGTACAAGCCGTGTTTGCTGGTGCCTATGAACTCCGTCGTCGTGGGGAGGGGTGTGTGAACGTGGAGAAAGGAGAAAAAGAGGAGGAAAGGTCCTTTACGGTTCCTGCGAAGACATCAACCACATTGCTTGAGTTTTCAACGTCTGGGAAACTGAACAACATTGCTCCCTGTCACTCACATACAGTTCCTTGCTCTCCACGCCCCATGAGAGGGGACGCAGGCAAGAGGCAGCTCCCACGGCTCCTGGTCGGAGTGGCTTCCGGGATCCTCCAGCATCTGGACAGCTCCCCCCAGTTTGGGGTGACACCACCATAGTTTCTTTGATTCTCAGACGCCAGGACACACGTGGGACCACTTCACCCAGAAGTAGCCCCGCCTCTGGCCACAGAGCTGAAACTCAAATCCAGCCCTGCCTGGCACACTTGCCCATGGCTCATGAAGTCTCAGATTACAGTCACACCCCATGAGGCACCAATGGATAGTGGCACGGGAGTGACTACCTAGAAACTTCACTCCTTTCACAACCCTCGAGCAAGCACGGACAGAGACCTCTTGGCAAGCTGTCTGGGCAGCTTTGCTTATCATCTGAGGTCACAGGGGATGAGGCTCACCTACTTCAAGTTCTGACAATCCGTCTGCGTGAAAGCTACATCCTCAGCTAACCAGGGCAGCACACGCCATAAAGCCCACTTTTTGGGAAATGTCTGCTCTGATGAGACACCAGCGAGGATGTGGAAACACGGTCTTTGACGATATAATTGGTTAAGAAGAGGTCATGTAGAAGGAGAATGGGCCCGGAATCCAATAATTGGTGTCCTTCTAAGAAAAGGCAATTAGGAGACCCACAGACACACACAGAGGGAAGATGGCCATGTGAAGACAGAGGCAGAAACTGGAGTGACGCATTTATAAGGCAAGGAGCAGCAAGGATGGCTGGTACCCCCCAGAAGCGGGGAGAGACAAGAAAACACCCTCCCACAGAGCCTTCAGAGGGAGCACGGCTCTGAAGACACCTTGATTTTGACCTTCTGGTCTCCAGAACTACGGGAGAATAAATGTCTTCTGTTTTAAAGCCCTCTCATAGTGGCACTTTTTTATGGCAACCCTAGGAAACTAATATTCGTGGTGATGGAGAATGAGATTACACACTTTTCTATGACATATTTTAAAGGGGAGACAGAAAATAATAATAAATGGGGAGGCTGGTTGTCAGAGACAAACAAGATGGACCTGAGTTCTGTAGTATTTTTTCACTCTATGGCTTCAGAAATGTTGACCAGGGAATATAGTTTTCCACGTCAGAGTTGACTGGGTTGCATTCAATGTCTTTCAGAAAATGTCGTTCTTAAAACCTAAATTAGGAAGACAAGGGTGGGGGCAGGGTATCTCACACCTACAGCACTTGCCAGTGTTAGAAGCACTTAGCGTCGCAAACTGAGCTGCCAAAACGAAGAGGGATGCTCAGGGTGGTTGGCGGAATAACGCGTCAGCCCAAAGATGTCTGTACGCTGATCCCCAGAACCTCTGAATACGTAGCCTTACTCAGCAAAAGAGGCTTTTGCAGATGGGATCCAGTCACGGATCTTGAGAGGAGGAGGAGACTCTAGATTATGTGGGTGGATTCAATGCAACCACAAGTGTTCTCATAAGACAGAGACAATCGGGTCAACACGAGGGGAAAAAAGAGGATTTGTTTCAATAGAAGTGCAGGTGGGAGTGACACAGCTACAAGCCCAGCAAGACAGGCGGCCTCTAGAAGCTGGAAGAGACAAGGAACAGATTCTCTCCGAAGCCTCTGGAAGGAACCCGCCTTGCCAACACCTTCATTTTCAGCCCCAGAAGATTAATTTCTGACTTTTGACCTCAAGAACCTATGACAATAAATGTGTGTTATTTTAAGCCACTAAATTTTTGGCTATGTGTTACCATAGCCATAGGAAACACATACAATGGGAATCCAGAAGAAAACAATTTCTAGCCTTTGTGAACCTGAGCCACCTACTTTTGGTCAAATTGTTAATCAACAGAGTTGCTCCCAAATCTTTGGATTCCCGTTCAATATTGTGTCACTCTGGATCCCACAGAACTTTTGAAACTCAACAGAGCTTTTGACGATGAAAGTACGTTTCCACACCAGCATTTGTTCTTGAAATACACATGGAAAATAGTAAGCCACGAGGTATGGGGTATGTAAAGACTTGCGCTGGCTGACAGAATGGAACAGGATGGCTCATCTTTAAATTTAAATTTCAGAGTGGCGCATGCCACAACGTGCTAACATTCCCTTTGCAAAACTTCCTAAACTCTGCACATTTGCAAAGGTTGCAGAGTCTAAAAGAGTTTGCCTTAGGTGAAACCAGCCATTCATTTCTCTCTCTCCCACACTCTGAATTTTGATGGTCTCCACCTGAGCTATGGGTTAAGGACAAAGCTAGTTATCAGGTTACACAAAATCCTTTACGACCTCAATCAATCTTGCTCATGCTTGCACTTCTGCAAGTAATGCCTGCCTGCCCACTCCTTCCTTCATCTTGGTATTACTTGCCTTTGAAGATTCAGCTAAGATTGCATTTTCTCAAGTGTGGCTTCCCTGAGATCTTGCAAGTTCCCTATCATATGGAAAAATACCACCCTGGACTTATGCCCATTGACCTATTTCTTATCATGTGCTTGCACATCCAGTTGTCATCAGTAAATGTGAACTCATCCTTGAGGTCCAGATCCCAGGACGGCAATTGGTAAAGAGAAAGCCCCAGTCAGTGTTGAAAGAGAGAGTGAAAAACGTGTTCACAACTTTGTCCTAAAAGATGGTCCAACGGCTAGAGGACGGTAAATGTGGCTCCTCGGAAAGTTTCCAGCTGTTGTGTTCTGGGTACACTGGGCTTTACAAGGATCACCATTAACCTCATCCACATAATATCCCTTCCATATCATGTGCTCATCTGATCAACTAGCCCTCTGATTTTAACTTCTCAAGTAGCTTTTTCCCGAACAGGGGAACAAGGCAATAGCCAACTTATTCCATTGCCTAGTACCCTGGAAAATATATTTCTCTTTGTAAGTTAATAGCCTGACAATATGCATTATAAATTAATAAGCCCAATTTATGAGTCTGAGTCTAGTGTGAGACTGCCTGCTTGGTCTAACCAAATATGAATTTCAGGGCCAACAGAGAGGCTATGATTTTAATAACAAGGACTCAAACAAGACACCACCTCTTTAGCACTGTCTGAAGCACCCAGCCGGCTTCCAAAACACTTCATCTTCTTGTCTAGACAGTGTTTAACAATATGGCACTTCTTGACTCAATATCATTAGAGTCGTCACCCCCATTTTTAAAAAATACTCATTTTTAGCATAATTACATGGATTTTAAGAAATTATCTTTACCTTTCTAAAAATGAAACTGCCTCCTTCACCATGATGGACCCGGCTCGTTCTGCCTTCATGGGCTGCTCGGTGATCTCATGGTCTCGCATGAGGAGGCAATTCCAGTACAGAGGAGATGTGTAACTGGAGAACCAAAAATAGCTCAGGAGGAAAATAAAAAGAACCATGGAGAGGATGAGAGACCAGGGAACAGAGACCCAGCGACTCAATTTCCCAATGGTGAAGGTAAGCACAGCAATGGCGACCAGCTGCACACAGAGCCAGATTTTGCTCTCAATGGCTAATTCCGTGTCACGTGAAGGATCCGGCCAGCAAGGTTCAATCAGAGTGAGTGGCATGCCATAGAAGTAATCAAACCCATAATTATGTGGATGGTGGCAGTGGTCGCTTCGAGATTGGCAATTTAAGCCTTGATGCCATTTGCCTGAAATTAAACACACACACACACAAATAAAACATAATATGCTCACACATCTCAAAGACCATGTGATCATTTTTCACTGGAAACAATCAGCTAATGCACAAAACTGGTGCAGTAAAGATTTTTCCTTTGTTTAAAAATCTGAGTTCGGCATAGCCTCATTTTTCACTCTTCTTTAGTTCACAGAAGCTTGTGTTAAGATCTGGTTTGAGTGAGCAGATAGGATAAAAAATAAAAGGAGGATGATAGAATTGTGAGTTCATAGCAAAGATATGAACTGGGCAGCTTCTCATTCACAGAGAGGACAAAGTTATAGAAACAAAGATAGATACGTGATAGAGACAAGGGAGATTATAGATAATGGATAGATCATAGGCAGACAGATAGTAGATTATGAGATAGATAAGCTAGAAGATGATGAATGAGTGGGTGAATGGATGGATAGATAGAAAGGTGGATGAATGGATGGCTAGATGGATGGTGGGTGGATAGATAGAAAGATAGATAGTTAGATATAAATTATAGCCAAAAGATAGATAAATGATAGAGACAAGATAGATGATAATGATAAATAGATAGGCAGGCAATGGATGGATGGATGAATGGGTGGATGGATGGATAGATAGATGAATGGTGGATGAATGAATGTATGTATGTATGTATGGATGGATGGATAGATGGATGGGCAGATGGATAGATAGAGAGATAGATAGCTGTAAATTATACCTACAAAGATAGACAAATGACAGAGACAAGCTAAATGATACATGATGAATAGATATATAAATGATGAATGGGTGGATGGATCAATAGAAAGATAGATAGGATAGATCCAAATAAATGATGGAAGATAGATGGGGCATATTTGGATGTATGGATGGATGGATAGATGAGTAGATAGATATATGATAGGTAGATATATGGGTGGATGGGTGGGTGGGTGGATAGTTGGGTAGATAGATAATACACAGATAGATGACCGATATAGATAAATGATGGAGGATGGACTGAACATGGGTGAATGGGTGGACGGATAGCTGGCTGGCTGGAAATCCTAGAGTCTCCCACCAGAGTTCATTGAAATAAGGGATTTATTCAGTAAAACTTACCACACCTTGGATGCTAACCAAAAGATGCATATGAGTTCTGCTGGCATGTGAACTCTAAGAGAATATAACAATGTGTATCTACCAAAATGTTAATAATTTTCTGCATGCAGTCAAGGCCACATCAAAGATGCACATCCCCAAATCTCTAGGTAATGAGGGGCTAGGTAGATGAGAGGCGATGCTGCTGGCTTAGGTTTTTGTGCCCTGCAACTCCACTAAGATCGTCTTCTCTTATCGATGCCAAATGGATTACAAAAATCAAAGGAGTTTAAAGTAACTTGTTATTCTCATGCCATTTGAAACCTAGACCTCTCAGCTAGGCCCAGTAGATTCAGCTCCAAAGGGTTTCATCATTAGTTTACTTCTATCATCTTTGGCAGTGAGAAGAAGGACATCCACGTGGTCCAGTTTTAATAAAATAATGAGGTGGGCGAGAGAGCATACAGTCAGTGAACATGCAAGGCACAGAGAACCTGACAAGTTTGATCTTCTGATTGTGCAACACTGGCTTTCATCCATCACATAGGTCCCTCAGCCTCAGGAAGAATCAATTTCCTGTCTCTAAAATCAGGGAGATGGGTTCTGTCGGACATCCCTTCCACTCGTAATTATCAATGCTTCTGTCGGTGTCCAATGTCCTTTCACTGCAATGCAACTAACCAGGGACTACGATCGTTGTCAAAAGGAACGCCAGGATTCCTCCCCTGAGCTGACCTTCATGCAGCAGCAGCAGAGAAAGGAGGAGCTAAGACAGAAGGACAGATGGGGAGGAGCCAAGGGGAGCTTTCAGAGGCAATGTCCATGCTCCTTGCCTTGGTTGGGTGACAGAGTTAGGGTGTAGACATTTTTCAAAAGTCTTTTTCTTTTTGCTGTTTGGGTAATGGATAGAGGGTGTAGACATTTTCTATGGAGTCAAAAGTTGACACTCCATAAAAAGTCAGTGATGCAGAAAGCTGTGCATTCTTGGGAGCACTTGTTACATTCCTTAAAGTATGCATAGTGGCTGAGGTGAAGGGTTTCAGAGTCTGCAGAGAATAATGTAGAAACAGCACATCGTAGGACAGTGGGGTCTGTGGAAAGATGAAGTGATGCAGAAACAGGTCGGAGGGACACCAGGCAAGACCTGGGGCTCAGGCGGAAAGTAGTATTCAGGCATGCCTGACCTATGTCAGAAAAGGATGGATAGATGCCATTTAGGAAGGAGTGTGCATGTGTGTGGAGGGGGATGGAATTGCAACACAAGATCCCGTGTGAGCAATGACGACAGAGAGTTCTGGAGGACGCAGGGGCACATTTGCCTGCAAAGGATCCAATGAGATAGAAGCAGCTTAATTGTAGAGATTCAAGAGACAGGTAGGAGGTGGCCACTGAAATGGCAGAGGTGGAGCCCAGATCTCCTAGAGAGCAGAGGGTCTTATCTGTCATAGCCAAGACGCAAACTTGTTTTTTCCCTTTTTTGGTGAGAAGGATTGGCCCTGAGCTAACGTCTGTGCCAATCTTCCTCTTTTTGCTTGAGGAAGATTCTCCCTGAGCTAACATCTGTGCCAGTTTTCCTCTATTTTATATGTAGGTGGCCACCGCAGTATGGCTTGATGAGTGGTATAGGTCCATGTCCGGGATCCGAACCTGTGAACCCTGGGCCACCAATGTGGAATGCATGAACTTAACCACTACACCACCCGGCCAGCCTTAAAGTCATTTTTTTTTGGTGAGGAAGATTGGCCCTGAGCTAATGTCTGTTGCCAATCTTCCTCTATTTTGTATGTGGGATGCCACCACAGCATGGCTTAATGAGTGGTATGTGGGTCCATAAATTCATTTTGAAATAGTTTCCAAGAAAACAATAAGCAGGGATAGAACAATGCCTGTCATTAGTTTAGCATGAATGAGTCATACCAATGACGGTAACTTACCCACGAGACCGGTGGTGTATCCCTGCTTTTTGAGTAAAGCAGCAAATGTTATTTCATTAAGAGGGAGTCCGGAACAGTCTCCAAGCGTTGTGATGACACGGACCTCTGTATCAGAAACCATTCCTAAGTGTAACGTAAAATAGAACACACAATGATGAGTGGCTGCTGGTCAGCTGAAGAGGGAGTCGTGGAGAGTTCACGGCTGGAAGATGGAGAGATGAGGTGCCATCTTGGAAGGAAGAGAAGACCATCCTTCGAGAGTCAGCTGCCTGGGTTTAAATATCGCCTACGATGACTCAAGACGTGAAACCCTCTACATCTCCTTCTATGAGGTGAGGAAGACTAGTTTTACATAAAGTCAGCAGCGCTTTCTTCCTACTACAAGAAAAAAAAAAAAAGAGAGAATAACCAGAGGTTTATTGGACCTCCTCGACCTTTGCATCAGCCAAGGCAGATACTGTAAACCTCATAGGACATAAAAGTTTACCTGACGCCCTCAAGAGCTGAAGGGAACCCCCAATCCTATTTAAAAGTGGACACAAATAATGGTCTCTCTGAATCGTAGGCCTTACTCTTAAACTACAGAATCTGTGCCCGGAAACCAAGACCTCTCTGCTCACCTTTAAAAATACAGCCATACGACCCAGCCATTCCGTTCCTGGCTATGTACCCAAAAGAATTAAAAATGAGTGTTGAGACACAAACTTGTACAGACATGTTCACAGCAGAAAGATTCCTAAGAGTCAAAAGGCAGGAAGAACCCACGTGCAACAGCAGGACTCAGCCGAGCCTTCTCCACGTACACACCTGAACGGACTGGGTACCTTCCCGTCAGGAAGGCCGACCGGCTCGGGGTGCACATTGAGGCTGCAGCGATGTTTTGGGTCAGCCGCACACCTTCCCTGGCTAAGCGGTCCACGTGAGGCGTCCTGGAGGGAGAGAGAGAGGGGAAAATCAGAGAGCGGGGGGCAGGGAGGGGAGAAAGAGAAACGCAGAGGAACAGGGAGAGAGCTGGAGGTAAAGAGGACCTCTTTCCTCAACTCCCTGAGCTCAGAACCGGAGAAAAAGAGCCTGCACACAACGCCCCTTCTTCTTTTCCTGCCCACGCCTGGGTGCAAACATAGCCGAGCCTTCAGGCAGCTCTTTGCTGCCGGATTGGTACAATTTGGTAATGTGTATGGCGTCTATCGAGTATAGGACTGCCCTTTAAAATACACACATAAAATATTTGTGCTCCAGACTGCGTAATTAAGGCCAATTACTTACGGACCTTAGTGACAACTAGCTACTGACAGACCGAAGGATGAGTTCAACCCACACGTTGGAGTGGTAAAAGTCCTTGCTCTACACACAGATGGTCCCCCAAACTGCCAGATGATTAAACATAAAGATATGCGGGGGTTCACGGGAGTTAAAAGAGAGACTTCTAGAGAAGAGAGACAGCCGGCTCCTTGGATGAAAATGAACTAGAAAGAGACTCAGATTCATTCATGAGAGAGATTATGAACAGCAGCTTGCTGCGTCAAGTTCCAGCTTTTAGCAACGCAATTCTCTGATTCTTTGTTGAAATGTGAAAAATCAGCAAGTGTCTTTTAAAGTAAGGTTCCATTTGCAAAGGAAACACTGATTTGTAAATTGCATTTCTGGCTCATACCTGCCTCATAAATCTTGCTTCTCAAGCAGCTAGTATTTTCAGCAAAATATTTACACCTGCCTCTACACACTGTCTGCAAATCGCTGATATTTATTTCCTCAAGCATCTTTTTGCGACTTAACTGCTTTCATCAGATGCAAGAATTAATTTGGACCCCTACGTTTTGTTGACTCACAATTTCTGCGGTGGAAAGCAGAAATTAGTAGCTTTGGCATCTATTGGTAAAACAACAGAAAAAGTTTCTAAGTGTACAATTCACATGTTTTATGGTGATGTATAATGACGTCCAAAGCTTTGTATGAGCACAGCTCGTTACCTGGTTTTTATAATCGACCAGAACACTCTGAGTTTCAGTTTCATATTCTTTTTCCTCTTTCAGAATGTCCGTTATTAAGATAGAAGGACATCGGGGCCGGCCCCGCAGCCAAGTGGTTAAGTTCACGCGCCCCGCTGCAGGCGGCCCAGTGTTTCGTTGGTTCGAATCCTGGGCTTGGACATGGCACCGCTCATTGAGCCATGCTGAGGCGGCGTCCCACATGCCACAACTAGAAGGACCCACAACGAAGAGAATATACAACTACATACGGGGACGGCTTTGGGGAGAAAAAGGAAAAAAGTTAACTCTTTTAGAAAAGAAAAAAGATAGAAGGACATTGCCTTAAAAGGGCTGTTGGCTTTGAAAATTAGTAAGCATGAAATGACTAATTCTGCCAAGTCAAAATATGTGGAAGAATTACCACTCCTCTTGATAGTCTATACCGTAGAGAACTAACTCACTCTGTGCCATGGCACTATTCTGTGCGCTGTGCTTATTATATGAGCTCAGATGTATATACTATTCACCTGGGCTCTCAACGGAATAGAAAAGGAAGACACACTGAGGTCATGTAACCGGTCCGAGATTTCACTGTTCCTAAGCACAAAACCAAGATTCAAATCCAGACAGTCTTGATTTTAATATTATTTACTTCTTTAAAAAAAAAAATCCCAACAAATCCATTTGGTTTTGCATGTGGATGCAGTCCTGAAATGTATCAACTTCCAAACAAGAGCGATAGGTAAAAAAAAAAAAAAAAAGTATGATTCAATAGGAAGCCGTACCTCATTGTACCATTGCCATAGCAACCCAGATCTCCAATCCCGAGATCATCCACCATTATCAGGACAACATTGGGCCTGTCATCATTCGCCTCCCGCGACTGGCATGTGTTTAAGAACAAACACATCCAAGACAGGGAGGTCAAGAGGCTCCTGTAAGGCAAGCACGGATTTCATGGTAAACACACGGCTCCCTCGGGGTGGCTTCAGGAGCCACGTTCCATTCCAACGTCGTCTTTCAAGAACGCAGCGGGGCTCATTGGAAACCAGGCTCATCTCCCAAAAGACAGGCACAAATTTCTCTTTCCAAGGATTGACCATCTCTGTGGCGTGGTCCCAGCGGTACTCAAGGGGCTCCACTTCACCATTTTGCTCAGTCCCAACTAAAGTCCCGTTTTCTCAAAGAAATATACAATAGATATATATAATTCTCTTCCCACTGGATCCCTACTCGATTATCAGGGGATGAACATTCGACTTGCGAACGATTGGTTCAATCTCTCTCTCATCTTTATTCATATTTTAAGACCCACCTCAAACATTTCCTCCAGGAGGGATGAAAGAAATAGTCGCGACCCCCATCTGTTCCCAGAGCGCTTTACCAATATTCTGAAACAATGGTGACGCTGTGAAATTGCAACTCTTTGCTTTACCCAAACATATCCACCGAGACTGGCAACTTCCTGAAGGCGGGCACTCTAGCCTAGGGCTTTTCCTATTGCCAAATCGAGACAATTACAGATATGGTTTTCATTGGCCCAAAGTTGGTTGAACTGTTTTCCCCACTTTCTATTTCTACGATATTTTAAAATAACACAAGTGGGTTGGAAATTTGCAGTTTATACTTGTATGAATTGCCTACATCGCTCCTACTTTATTATAGACTTAGCAAATTCAGAGTATCAATTCAGACATCTTATGGCCAATCATATAAAGAAAAAAAGGCGATATTGACACCTCTATCTGTAAAGCTGAATCCACAAATGTCACAAAATTGTCCATTAGATTCAATGCGTTTGCAATATAGCTTATTACTTCACTTACCTGAGCTTCATCACGTAGCCCCGAGTGGCTTCCTAGTTTCTTTGGCCAAAGATAAAATGTCCTGAAAAGAAAAATGTGTTTATCAAGTTAGTTCTCACTGGAAAATTCTCACAAGATTAAGGACACTTATCTCCACTTCCCTCTGCTTCCAATATTTCAAATCTGGCTTTCCAAATCTGTCATGGCATAAACCCTGCTGTCTCGATGACTTGCTCTGTTGGCCCGTTTTTAAAGAGTTCACGCTCTGCCAGTTCCTGAGGCCCCCTGTCTCTTTTTGGCTCTTGAGTGAACTGGCTCAGTCTGTATGATGTGGATTAAGGCTGCCCCAGCTAGAGAAGCCTAAGGTGACCTGGCCTACATGCCAAACTATATGACCCAGTGGACTTTGTTTATGGTATGAATTAGGACTGCCCCAGGGAGAGAAGCCCAGGGCATCCTCACCTACATGCCGATCTATATGGCCAGATTCGTATCTAAAGTTATATGACTGCACAATAACCAGACCCCATCTGCACTGAAATCATTTAATGACTTTTTACATCATCTTTTCTTTTCTCCAGTAAAAATAAGTCACGTACCCATGCCCTATAAAATTAGCCCTAACCCTCAACTCGGGGCAGCAGCAGGAGCTCTGACTGCCCGTGGGTCTTGTCCCACACACCAGCTCTGCCTGCCCATGGGCCCTGTCCCCATGCCAGCGGGGGCAGCAGAAGCGGCGGCAGCAGAAGCTCTGACTGCCCATGGGTCCTGTCCCCATGCTATTCCACACTATTCTCTAAATAAAAGAGCACTACTGCCAGATCTTGAGCGTCTAAGAAATCTTTCTTTTGACTCCTTGGCTCACCGACCCCGCATCATGCACACCTCCACCCAAAATGACTGGATGACAGTATGATCTCAAGGAGTTGCCGAATTTACGAGCTTAAACTCAGAACGTCTGTGCGGATGCTTGAATTTATCCACTTCTTTGGTTTTGCATTAGTCCAAAACCAGATCACTATATGGTGATTTTAGGGTACCTAGTGGTTGTATATAATTGGAAAAGGGGGCTGAGTATGATGACCAAGTGATATGACAGCGAAATTCATTGCAATGAAAACAAGGAAATACGTACCTTCTGTCAGCATACGATTACTCATATTTGTACCTTAAAAATCACTACGAATGTCGTACCAACCTCCTCTTTCAAAATGCCACCTTGTTCAAAAGCAAGATGATAGAGACCGCAAACAGAGCTATTGACTAAGAAAGAGAAAGGATGCAAGAAAAGAAGGGAAGGAGAGAGACAGGAGAGAAACTTTAGCAAGAGTTGGTTTGGAATCAACTTCTCAACGCCTAAGCAGAGCCATCCAGCTTTAGAAAGTAACCAAGGGAGCCTTGAAAACCCCGAGCCCATCAACCCTGCCCATCATATCAGAAAGAAAGAAAAAAGAGCTGAGAATGTCTAACAGAAGCCTTCCCCAACTCACCTGTCAGTGCTGTTGTCTACCTGATGTGTAGGGCAAGATGAAAAACCAGTCCTGAGGCAGTTCTGACTCTCCTCACAGCCACCCAGAGTCACTACCTAAATGATAGACTGCTGGCTCCACCTCCCTCCGCAACCGGGAAGTTAGTCCATGCTGCGCTCCCCAAAGGCATTCAAGCTTATGATATGCAAACAAGGAAATCTGCACCTCTGATTTGCATCTCTTTCTACAAGCGCAGAAGAAAGAATTACATCCAGCAGAACACCTGCAGACTCCCTTGCAGGGCGTGAGTGTTCTCTGCGTCTACCACCAAAATGATTCATCAAGCAGAAGTGAGGAACAATCCTTTTCGTTCCGGCCATTGGATTCCGACGACCTCCCGGTCTCCAGCATTGCCTCAGAGTCATCTGTGCAGCTAAATAAAGGAGAGAAAATACAATATCTCCCCCCCAGGAATATTTCCGAATTATGTTGAGTAAGAGAGATGACAGAGGACGATTCATGGCCAGTGGCTACGCTCTTTGTCAACACCGTGTCCCAAAGGGATTGCTAGTAAACAGCAAGTGAAGAGTAGCAAAACAGCCTTTCCCTCAGCATTATCAGTAAAGATTTGGGCATTTATGAACCAAGGCATCATCATCCTACACACAAAGAAAAGTTCATGAACACCTGGGTAAGCAAACCAGAGCAGTTTGCTCTCTGGATTTGCTACACGTAGTCTCGCTGTACAGCCTCCTTTCACTAGAACACTGGGGTTTTTTTGAGGTGAAACATGCTATTAGAGATGCCGCCGTGTGATTCCATCAGCTCTAGATACCAGATCCCGGACCGTCAGGTCAAAAATACAGCGATCTCTAGGTCGACGTGTGTGGAGGGGAACTTTGCACTGGAATTGTATGAAAACACCAAAAGGATATGTCCAGAAGGTTTGAACCCAATCTCCGGAAGGAGAGCAACAAAGAGCATACAAGTTTTCATCCCGAACAATGGCATGTGAAGAATAAAACTGTCTTAATCCAGATTCCCATGGCAGCTCTATAATAAGCTACTTTAAAATCTCGTCAGTGTACTAAGTAAAGGATTCTTCTCCTTCTAGCTTCCAGCGCTTTCTTTATGCATTCCACGTTTCTTTGTGGGGTGAGTCTTCACTTTGGGGAGTTGCTCAAAATCCTTACTGATAAGCCCAGCAATGTGGCCAAAGTCTGTCAAATTTTGATTGATGCTATGTACTTAGCCATGTTTCTTTAATGCAATAGAGCCCTTGTAGGCAACTGTGTGAAAGCCCAGAGAAGACAAGCTGCAAGCCTTTGGCCAAACTGGGATGATGCTCCTCGAGTTGCGTAAATAAGATACAAACCCACTGATGATCATGATTTGAAACGCCCTGTCCTCAAATTGGGTAGTTGTGGGGATGTGATGGAAAAACCTGATTTTACCTAAACAGTTCAGATTTGTCACTTGGCTACTATGCCTAGAAGAGACAGGTGACAGACAGAAGTGACAGATATAAACCTAAAATGTCCCTTCCTGATTTTTTCAGTAGGACATTGAGTATATGCAAATGTCCGCCTCCTGTGATGGCCCTTGTGAAGATTAACGTCTCCCAGATAAATTGATTGATTGCCATGGCTAAACTTCTTAAACTCTCGGAGTTCGCTTTCCTCATAGATGAAATCATTGCATTTTTATCTTTGCATAGGCGTTGTCGTACAGACAACGCTCTGAAGGACTCTCTTCAGCCACGTTCCCTGATAATTTCGGGTGCCCCTCTAAAAGGGTGTCATCTCAGGTGACACGGGATCAGCTCTCCTACTCTGCTTAGAGATGAATGGAGCGCGTGGCAGATAATAGTTATTAGTTGCTCTGCGGAGCAAAGTCAAAGGCAAGGAGTGACTCAAAATCACTCCTTGCCCAACGAGAGTCTTAAAATCCACAATAGGAGAGAGAGAGATGCAGAAGTGCAATAAAGGATTACGGAAGAAAAAGTGAGCTCATCCAGGGTTGAAATTAAAACAGATTAGAACCTGGACAAATTGTACCTGGAATAACCAGGTGGAATCTTAGAAAAGGTAACTCTCGTACTAAAGTCCTGATGAGAGCGAATTTAAGGCAGGTGAGAAGGTGGTGGAATGAAAGGGAGAAATACAAGTAACAAAGGAGGAAATCACGAACCATAAAATGCTGGTGATGTGGATTAAGGCTGCCCCAGCTAGAGAAGCCCAAGGTGACCTGGCCTACATGCCAAACTATATGACCCAGTGGACTTTGTTTATGGTATGAATTAGGACCGCCCCAGGGAGAGAAGCCCGGGGCATCCTCACCTACATGCCGATCTATATGGCCATTTTCGTATCTAAAGTTATATGACCGCACAATAACCAGATCCCATCTGCACTGAAATCATTTAATGACTTTTTACATCATCTTTTCTTTTCTCCAGTAAAAATAAGTCACGTACCCATGCCTTATAAAATTAGCCCTAACCCTCAACTCGGGGCAGCAGCAGGAGCTCTGCCTGCCCGTTGGTCCTGTCCCCACGCACCAGCTCTGCCTGCCCATGGGCCCTGTCCCCATGCCAGCGGGGGCAGCAGAAGCGGCAGCAACAGGAGCTCTAACTGCCCGTGGGTCTTGTCCCCACACACCAGCTCTGACTGCCCATGGGCCCTGTCCCCATGCCAGCGGGGGCAGCAGAAGCGGCGGCAGCAGAAGCTCTGACTGCCCGTGGGTCCTGTCCCCATGCTATTCCACACTATTCTCTAAATAAAAGAGCACTACTGCCAGATCTTGAGAGTCTAAGAAATCTTTCTTTTGACTCCTCGGCTCACCGACCCCGCATCATTTCTGGTGGCCCGTACGGGGACTTGCTTCATCGGCTTGTGAGCTCGAGTTCTGGTAAGTGCCCTTTTCTTCCTTGTGCCTTTCTCTTTTTCAAGGATGGATCTAAATTCACTTCTCCATCGGGAACTTTCTCGGACAGCTGTATGAATCCACGTTTGCTGCCCATGGCTACTCTATGGGGCAACTTGTGGCATTCAGCCTGAAGAGAATCAGTACCTTAAGCCTGAGGGTGATGGAAAATGAATTAATCCATTCCTTCCTGCTCTTTTTCAAGGATGGATCTAGATTCACTGCTCCATCGGGAACTTTCTGGGACAGCTGTATGAATCCACGTTTGCTGCCCATGGCTACTCTATGGGGCAAATTGTGGCATTCAGCTTGAAGAGAATCAGTACCTTAAGCCTCAGGGTGATGGAGAATGAATTAATCCATTCCTTCCTGACTCTATCTCTAATAGACAAGTTTTACGTGGGCGCGGGTTGGCCACTTAAGTCATTAGGACGGCCGCCAATCTCCAAGACTCCCGTGGAAGGTTTCTTTTCCTAAGGCTGGATTGGGATCCCTCCCTCTGGCACCTGACCACACTCTGAACTGCGAGGAAAGTCCCACTCGGGACTCCAGTTCAAGGAAAGTACCAAACTCTAACCTCTGGTGGAGTATGGGAACCCCTTCTTGGGAGAATGGCTCCAGGATGCAATTGGGTAGAATGTCCCCCAGACTGGAGGAAAATTCCTCACTGTCTTTCTCTTTCTCACTGTCTTTGTCCTTTTATCCTGGGGCCCATTCACCAGGCACCTATTCCTGCCAGGCAGAATAGGGAAGATGTTCAAGGGATGCCCCCATCATCCCTTGCTACAGGAACTCCATTGGGGGGATTTTCAAGGTAATGGCTCCCTTTCTCTGGGACCATTCACCAGGCACCTATTCCTGCCAGGCAGAATAGGGAAGATGTTCAAGGGATGCCCCCATCATCCCTTGCTACAGGAACTCCATTGGGGGGATTTTCAAGGTAATGGCTCCCTTTCTCTGGGACCATACGCCAGGCACCTATTCCTGCCAGGCAGAATAGGGAAGATGTTCAAGGGATGCCCCCATCATCCCTTGCTACAGGAACTCCATTGGGGGGATTTTCAAGGTAATGGCTCCCTTTCTCTGGGACCATACGCCAGGCACCTATTCCTGCCAGGCGGAATAGGGAAGATGTTCGAGGGATGCCCCCATCATCCCTTGCTACAGGAACCCCAATGGGGGAATTTTCAAGGTAATGGCCCCTTTTCTTTCTCCTTTTCTCTCTGGGACCATTTGCCAGGCACCTATTACTGTCAGGCAGAATAGGCAAGATGTTCAAGGGATGCCCCCATCATCCCTTGCTACAGGAACCCCAATGGGGGGATTTTCGAGGTAATGGCTCCTTTTCTTTCTCCTTTTCTCTCGGGGACCATTCACCAGGCACCTGTTACTGCCAGGCATAACAGGGAAGGTATACAAGGGATGCAATGCCGGGGGACGCCCCCATCACCCCTTGCTATAGGAACCCCACAGTAGGAACAACGGGTAGGACGCTGCCCTAGGTTCAGGGGAGATTTTTCACGGTAATGGACCCGTTTCTTTTGTCTCTCTTGAAGTTACAATGGCCATTTTCATCTCCTTTTGAGCTTTGCGACTGGGAAACAAAGAAATCTTTAAAGAGTAAAAGGCTCCACCCCTGGGAGCCCCAACTTTGGGTTTCTGGGCCTGATCACCCCAGCAACCCTAAGTGGGGGTGCCCTCTCTTGACAGCTGACTCATTGAGTATTTTAGTCACCTACAGAGTCGGTTATGAGGGTAGGAGACCTGTGATTTATTCTGTGAACTGTTGTGCTAGCGTAGTGTGTCCCAGCATGGGAACTATGGTGTGACTCTTATCTTGATAACCCTCTGGAAGAGGCCATGAGGGTGAGGTCTGATCTCTTCTTTTCCTTTCTTTGTCTGTTTTGCTCATCATCTCTTCTGTTGTCACCAAGTCGAGGTTAAGTTCAGGCTGGACCTGAGCAGAACCTTGACCTTCTGTAAAATTGGAAAAGTAAGCATTTTGCCAGGGATTTAACTCTCAAACCTGTCTCTGGGAGCCCCAGCCTCCAGCCAGTTCCAGGCCTTTGCCTCCTGCTTCCCTACCTCAGATTTGCTGGCTCAGAGACAAAGTGCCCAGGCTGAGTGGGACTTGACTAAATCTTATAACTATGTCAACACCCGCAATCGGCCTCTGCACACCCGCAATCGACCTCTGCACCCTTTATCCAGCTGCTGTCAGT